GGGGCGCGCCTGCCACAGGTTCTGGAGCCAGCGAGTCGTTTGACAAGGACGGGTACAGCCCGGTACGGAGCGCGGCTGGAAACCGCAGCGCCAGGGAGAGCAGCCGGCGGTTAGGGAGCACCGCAGGTCTGGCCAGCCCTTCGCTCCGGTTGGCATTTCCCCCTTTTCACTGGTCCAGCTCACACTGGTGAGCTGAATCTCTCTGGCATGGGCACAAGGCCGTGGTGGGGAGGGGCGGCAGGTGGGGATGCACGGAGGGCCGGTGCAACAGAGACCTGCGGCGGTGCACGGCGTGGGCACGGGCGATGCCTGCTCGGCCATGGCATGGTCCGTGCCCGGGCACAGCGGGTGAGGCAGAACCGGCTGCATCCATCTCAGTCGGGTGCCTTCCTCCCCCGTGTCCCCACAGTATTCTGACGTGTGCCACTGGTGCGTTAGGGAGAAGGATCCTGGTATCAATATTCATGTTCTGGTTTAATTTTAAACCTCAGGAAGGCTACGGAAAGTGTGGGTAATGTAATTCTAGGTAGGAAATGGGAGTGAGTGAGAACAGGCACTCCCTTGGGACTTTTCTGATCTTCTCAAGCAAATAAACAAATGAACTCCACATGCAAAAAAAAAACCAAAAAACTTACATTAAAAATTAAAATCTTGAGGTGTACGTAGAGAGCCTGCATTTGCACAGGGGCAATATCCTGCAGCGGTGATAGCGGGGACTGTTCCCCTGGGAAGGGGTGCACATCAGGAAGGCAGTGAAGGGTGTCCCTGCCTGGGGAGGTGGCATGGGCCATCCCTCCTGCGAGGCGCCCCCCGGGAATCTCTTCTGCTGCTGGTGCCATCAGCAGCAGCGCACGGGCTCCAAAGAGGACACGGCGATGGCGAAAGGCAGCCCCTTGCTTTGATCTCCCTGCTCCTCACCAGCTGCTCTCCTCGCAGTCTCCCATTAGGGCGCTGATGAGACTGAGAACATCCGGCTGAACGCTGACGAGCACACGGCGATCTTACGGCTTAGGAGAATTATAACAATGAGCCATTATTTTTCTCCTCCGGTGCTGGAAGGGGTCCTACGTCTCTTTGCCCAGTAATGAATTAAGGTACCAAACTGGGCTCCCTTCCCCCAAGCAATGACCAAGAAACTTCCCTCCTGTCTGTTTTTCTTTCTCCTTCACATTCATCCTCACTTCCCAGTAAGCACAAACACTTGTTCTAACAGTGGCAACTCGGATGTGCCAAAACCTGTCCTTTGTCTTCAGATTCCCCGTCATTCCTCGGCAGTGTGTGCAGATCTGTCTTTTGAGTCCTCTACTCTTCTTTTATTCTTCATATTTAATGAGGCACAGAGAACTGTGCAATAAAGGCTCATCAAAGCTGCCATTTATCTATGTTTAACAGTCTTCGTTATATATTAGTAATAAATGTCCTAAAGCTTTCTGGATATGGATACATTTCTCCTCATTATTTCATGTTATTTTCTCC